CCAAACGGGGCGCGCGCGCCCCGTTTGCGCAACGTAGGGAGAACCCTGAGCAGGATATGAGAAGCGGTCGTTCCATGTCTGTCGCGGCGTGTAGTCGAGCGTGACGACGCATTGCACCGTCTCACGCAGCGTCGTCCACGTCGTGGCAAAGTCAACGCGCTTAGGCTTCAGCGACATCTTTAGCTCTCGGCTGCCGGGGTCGAGTGAGCTACGGAAAACAAATACATGGTGTCACGTATTTATAATGTAACAATATTATACATGGTTGCATAATAACGTGGTGTAATTACTAATTATCGCGCCGTGTGAGCTGTGGAGAAAACACAAATGTGTCACGTGTTTATAATGCATCTACATGCGCGCACAATAACACTTGATAAAATTTAATTTTATGTTTCAGTCAATCCACATTGAAATTCTTTTCACTCTTCTCCATTTAATTGTTAAATTGAAACTTTTTCGACAGCGATCAGTAGTGGTAATCTATCCATTTGTTCAACCTTGACTCTCTCCTTCTTCAGTACAGGCCCTTGGACTTCGAAGATTAATCTTTATGGGGTTATTAGTGAAGCTTCCCGAGCACACATACATATAGTAGCAGGGGGATCGAAATTAACGGGAGTCCGGAGTCAAATACTCCCTGATTTACTGTCGGACTCCCTGATTTGACATATGCAGGAGTCCGTGCGACTCCCTGAAAATTCTGCTATACTAACTAGTTCAGGCCTCGAATTAAGCGACGAGAGGGGCAAGGCAATTTTTTGGGGGTATGTGAGAAATTGCCTTGAATTTTCTCTAAAGTAGATGGGCACCGAGGCAATTTTAAAAGGCATCAAGGCAACTCTCACAATTTGAGAAAGGCACCAAGGCCATTGTTATGAAAAACTTTGTGTCATCGTATGAATTCTACTAAAATTTCTCTAAATTTACTGCACTTAGCAAGCTACACACCATACAGATCACTGGCCATTTTTGCGCGAGCGTCGTTTCCCGCGCTTTAAATCGCGCGTGGGCCGAGTCCGGGCGTGCAGCATTTAAATATTCGTGTTCTACCACGAGCATACACAGGTGCACAATTTATCGATCGTCTACTGGCAGCGGTTGGTAGCAATGCCACGTTATTGTTTTTGCCGAAGGATAGACTGGTATCCGGCCTCACGCTCTGCTAGACAATGTACACACTCTGCGACAAACAGAGCGGCCGCGAACCAATCTAGCCAGAGGCACCGACGGCAATTACAGAAAAGGGCAAGGCAGGTCACTGCCGTCGGTCGGGTTGGATTTTTAGGGGCAGTACGGCGATTGATAGGGGCACCGCCGGCAATTGCCGTCGGTTAATTCGAGCCCTGAACTAGTTCATTCCAGAGCACGGGCTGACGGAATTACCATATTTTTTCAGCAAATATCCAAAGAAAATTTTGCAGACGTGCATCGCATGAATCTTCAAAATAAGCAAGTGTTTTTATTGTTATGCTTTAGTTTTGAATTTCAGACTGCGGACTCATTTTGCTGTGGACTCCCGCTTTTTGAGGGCTAGGAGTCCGTTGGACTCCCTTGTTCAAAAGTTAATTTCTACCCCTGTAGTAGTATTAGTACTGTACTCTCAAACTGCAAACTCATTCAACTATGTGCTATTGCAGTATTGGGTGTGGGACTGTAAGGCATCTGTACTCGTGAATGGTTCAGCATTGTGTCGATTCATTCCCGCAGCAAAAATAAACATTGAAAAACATGTATTCGCCGATTTCATTTGTATTTGTTTATTTGCGTTATGTTATGTTTTATTACATGGTGATGACGTCGATGTTGTAACGACACAGAACCCCGATCGTGCGAATTGCAATTTGCTGCGTCTTCGTCGTAGTTCCGCATATAAAAAAGGTGCAGATAAAACATTTAGAGTCGTAAGTTTCCACTTTACTGTTTCATCGCAGTGTTTAAATACCATAAGTAATTTGTCGACCTTATTTTATTGAAAACAATGCTTTACGAAGGAATATATATGACTTACACTAACTATGATTTGACTTGCCCATGGCC